CCGGGCTGAGTGCGGGGCCGGGGCCGAGCAGAGCGCCGGGACGTCGCTGGCGATGGTGGGGTGGCCCCGGGGGACGGGAGGAGCGGCGCTGCCACAGCTGCGGGAGCCGGTGCCGGTGCCCGTCCCCCCGGGTCCGCCTCTCCTCCCTCCCTCCCTCGTCAGCTCTTCCCAAAGCCCGGTCGGGTTCAGTGCCCCGGCAAGAGACAGCCCCTCACGCCTGTGGTGCTGGCTCTGCTAACGGCGTACAGGAATAAATGCGAATATACTTGCTGTGCTGTTACTGGAAGGATGCTTGAAAAGTAACAGAGCATCAGTGTCTGTCGTCAAAAGGAGTCTTGGGCAAGTAGTTTCCTCGCCACAACAGCTCTGTCAGAGTAATTAATCATGTGTGTGTTTCTTGTCTTAAATTTCAAGTAAAGCCTACTGAGTTAATCAGCTCTCATGAAGTTTCTGTGGTAATAACTGCCTGAAGGTATTACTGAAGCTAATTTGTGAAATGTGTACAGATAACGTAGAAATTGAAGTACATTTCCGTGTTTCTCTACTTGTTTTAGAGGTTAGGGCTTCAGAAATATACTTTTGGAATCAAAATAACTCAAAATTTGGGCATCTCAGTCCAGGTCCTGAACAGTTTCAGAAAGACCAGATTGCTTTGCAATCAGAAGTAGTTTCCAGGAATGATTTTGTAAAGCCTATTCAGAAGTAGCATGCACAATTAAGAAAAACTTCAAATAACATAAATATGGCTCCTGAAACCCTTGTCCAGCTTTTATAAAAATCTGTCAGTCTAGCATTTTGTCAAAATTATTGTAAAAGTAGACCCCTGTGTGTTCACATGCGTGCACAAAATTTCCAGCTTACAGCTGAGCACCTCTCTGTTTTCCACTTAGAAATTAAACGGCTTTGCTTTTAAAAATTCTTGCAGCTTACTTCCATGGGATGGGGAATGTGCTTTGGGAAGCTTTATTATTTTGTAATAAAAAATCAGCTCAATATTAACTCAGTATTGAAGAGGTTGTTACGTTTTTTCTTTCTTCTGCCTATCCTATATGAAGAAGTGCTAAACAATAGCAAAGGTTTCACTACAGCAGTGCGATTTTTAATTATTCATGTCTGTCTTCAGAGAATGACCTGACAAAAGGTTACTACTGTTCATATAGGTCTAAATTTAGAGCTTAAACTAAATTAGCCATACTTGGTGGAATATCTCAGCAGGAGAATTAGATCTGTACTAGTTTATACACACACGTATTTTATCTTTCAAAAAGACAGGAGTTAATTTTCCTGAGGTGTGGTTTCATCTGGACTGAGGTGTGTGTTAATGCTTCAAACTGGTCACTCAAATATTGTTCACTTGTAAGTGCAAAAAACAGTGGAAAACTTTCAAAGCTAAATGCAAAACACGCTAATATTCAATCAAGGGTAAAATGTTATCTCCATTGAAGCAAGAAGAATTTTCCCAAGGGGAGGGCACAGTTTCATCTTTTGTGTGCTCATTGGAAGTGAAAGATGTCAAGAAACAGAAGAGTTCATTCTTGTTAAGCACTGAATGCTGATGAGAAAAACGAAAGTCCATTAGTTAGATTATTTTTTTTTTAGCTTATTTCTTTTATTCTCCTTGAAACTATTGTTCTTACTTCTTGAACTGATGTTTTTGTTTTATATGCTTCGTGTAGATGAATGGACAGATGTGGACAGGAAACGAGGTACTGTAATCTTCTAGCTGCATGCAGTAGACAAACACCACTACATGCACACGAGGCTCATTGTACGTGAACACACTGTATGCTGTTCCTGCAGCCTTCTAGTCATAGTGTCAAAGATGAATAATAATACTCACCCGTTCATTTAAATGCACTATAACTATAGATCTTAGAAAAAATAGACAATGTCTCAAAATCATATGGCTTCAAAAATAAGCTGCTAATTTAACAAAGACTATAAATGGGTCAAAACTTTATCATAGTGGTCTTTCTAGCCAAAATGATATTTGCATTTTTCTAGCATCGTATTAATGCAAGCATATAATTTTGTGAGCATTGTGAAGGTTGTTTTTCTGCTTAAATGCAGGAATACTATGTATACTGCATTTTTCTAAGGTTTTTTTCTAATTCATTGCTTAGGGTTTTGACAGTTGAACTCTAGGAAAGATTTAAGGCATTTCCATCCTAGCTGCTTATCCATCCCTGTTAGTGGTCACCACCCTTGCAGCAGAGTCATCATAAAGGAGCAGGTGCCTACACTTCAGCCACGCTCATCTTGACTGAAATTATCCCTGAAGGTGGGTTTGAGCTGAGACATCAGGTTCTGTGGTGGAGCAGCTGAGGTGTGAGTGCGTGTTTCCTTCTGGACTCTGCTTTGGAATGGCAGCCTCCAGCAAGGGTGTGGTAAGGAGCTGGATGAAGAAAGAAGTCTTTTCAACTATCTCAGTTTTTGTGCTAAGTGAACACAAGTAGAACTTTCAGTGTCTTTTTGAGCAGCCCTTTTTTAAGAGAGATCAGGGTTATGATTCATGTTTTTCAAAATAGGCATCGTTTGTAGGTTTTGTATGTTTACTGAAGGTAAATATTGATATCCTAGAGTTTGCCCTGGCTTTTTTTTGCTGCTATTACATGCTGTTTCCAAGAACGCTTTTTTTCCAGCATTTAATATCTCAGAAGTCTAAGAGGTTCCATATTCCTCTTTTATCACATCCAAGATGATGACGAGCTGTATGAAAGCCCGCTTTATCATACTTACATGGCAGTGGCACAGATGCAGATCCCATGTTGACCAATCAGCTTCCCTTTTGAGAAAGAAAAGTTTGGCTATGAACACTGTTCTTGGGGCAGTCTCTGAAGAGCTACGATAGAGTAACCAGCCGAGTCTACTGCTGATGAAGCCATGACGAGGCGGCTTCACCTGCCTTTGACCTTGTTACGAACTATAAACCTATTGAAAGTAGAATGTGTGACTGTTTTGGACTCTTAACATTCCCTCTGCTGCCTTGAATGTCCTCCAAGAAGCATGAGCATAAGCCAGACATAAAGACTCCAGTCTCATGTCATGCATACGAGCCATATTACGTGAAAGCACACTAGATGTTGGAACGTGTCTGTCACTGGTGACATGGCACATGTAGGCAAAAGCCACCGTAAATCCTCAGCTTCTCTTCTGTCCATCGCATTGTCTATACTTGGTTTCCCTCTCCCCATCCCAGTTGATGAAACCCCTCTCTGCTAAATTGCTTTTATGCTATGTTGCTTGGCGTGCCATTTTCCCTGAGCTAACGCTCCTTTCTTTGTTATTTTCCATTGTTAGAGTGGTGGTAATATCTCCCTAGGGACTACCTGTGCTCTGAGATCTCTTTGCTGTGTCATTATCAAACATACTGTGTGAGATTTGCCCTTTACCGTGATTTTTTTATGTCTTTCTCAGTTCTTTTTATAGCAAATACAAGAGGTTTTAATTTCAGAAGATAATTTATGTAAGGCTTGGTGTGTGGTTAACACAGATCCTCCAATTCCTTTGTGAATATCTACGAGCCACAGTCAGCGTACTGGGACGTTGTCTGTCTCCTGACAGTTTGGGTTATTGGTGACTCTCCGAAGACGGAGGAGAAGCCTTTGTGTGGACAACATATGCAAGCAACTTAAAAATATTTTTTGTTGATAGCAGTATAAGGCAGAAGTTCTTATTTTTGTCATAACTGATTACTTGCAAAATGAAATGTATGCTAGTGCATACAAATACTAATTCACTTGTTTTTTTCCACTGAAAAAAAAAAGTGAGGATTTTTGCCTCAGACTGCAAGTAGAGATTGTTTTATGGACAGTTTATTTGAAAGGAAGGGAGGAAGAGGAGGGAATTTTTATTCCCAT